ACAGAATTGTTACTGAGGGACACAGAATTGTTACTCAGGGACAGACACAGAATTGTTACTGAGGGACACAGAATTGTTACTGAGGGACACAGAATTGTTACTCAGGGACACAGAATTGTTACTGAGGGACACAGAATTGTTACTCAGGGACAGACACAGAATTGTTACTCAGGGACACTAGACACAGAATTGTTACTGAGGGACACAGAATTGTTACTGAGGGACACAGAATTGTTACTGAGGGACACAGAATTGTTACTCAGGGACACAGAATTGTTACTGAGGGACACAGAATTGTTACTCAGGGGGACACAGAATTGTTACTGAGGGACACAGAATTGTTACTGAGGGACACAGAATTGTTACTCAGGGACACAGAATTGTTACTCAGGGGACACAGAATTGTTACTGAGGGACACAGAATTGTTACTCAGGGACACAGAATCGTTGAATTAAAAGAGTATGTCAGACAACACGCAGAGGAGTGGCAGAGGAGGCAATGTTTTTAGGAGCGAGCAGACGTGGCAGTCAGAGGAAGGGGGTCGAGATAAACAGCACTAGTCGCAGCCAGAGGCCAGTGCTCCCGGTGTCATCCAGCGGAAAACAGGTCGTGTCTCCACCGACAACCCTGCCGTCATTGATTGGCTTGGCTCGGTCGTCTTCCTCTTCCCAGGTCACCTCTGACACCTACAGCCAACGGGTCGGTGGGTAACGTCAGGAGACACAACCGTTAGTTGGCATGGCCCGGGAGCAAGCCCACTGAAATCACGTGTCCTCTACCTGCCCCTGTCCTTTGGTGTTCCCTCACCAAGCGCGAAGTATCGCATGCTGTGGGCTCAGCCCCCACTGTACAGTGAGGAAGAGCTAACAGAGGGCGGTCAGGAACGGGGGGAGACATCCGCCTCTTCAGCAGCCAGGCGAAGAAGTACTGGCGAGGAGAGTGGCTCGGTAGCCGAATGTCTAGAGGACAGGTCTGTCTCCTGACCCACACGCAGCCGAGGGGGCTAGTAGTGAGGCGGAGACCCTAATTGATGATGATGAGGCTGATCGCACTTGGCAGCCTCGTCGTCATCAGGCTATTGCTTCGATGCAGAATTGGAGTTTTTACTCATCGGTGTTACTGAGGTCAGGAGAAGAGGGTGGCAGCTTGTTGGCAGCGAGCAAAACAGTCGGTGGGTTGCCCAGGAGGCAGAGCAGGGTCGCAGCAGTGTCAGTGTCAGAGGCAAACGGCCACGGAGTACAGCACCAGCTCCACTGCAGCCTACCACCACGGCCAGTAGTGGTGGTGCCGCGGTGTGCACGGAGATGGAAGTAGCAGTCAGCCAGTGAGGGAGTAGCGGGGGGGGGCAAAGTTTCCTAGGGACTCGGCGGTGTTGCGCCTGTTGTGCAATTTTTCGTCAAGGGCCCCAGTAGGATTGTGCCCGAGGAAGTAAACGATAGGTCTCGGGAAGTCAGCCGTATGGGTCGGGACTATGTGGCCAGAAGGAATTGTCAAGCACTAGTGGCCAGGGGGGCCCATGTATGGGAACTACAGCGTTTGCGGCAGCATATGCAGCGTCGCCATTTGGTGGCCTGGGGAAAACCGTGAATAAAAGATACGGGCGGGGTTCTGCCTTGCCCAGCCCCCGCTCCATCACCCGCTCCAGTTACTTGCTCCGTCACATTGACGTCAATCGCCCTCTATCAGCCAGTCAAGGCTCCAACACCTCTGCTGAGGGGAGTTGTCGCTCGTTGGCATCTTCCGCTCGTTCAGATGCTCCTTCTTACCTGCTACTCCTCTTCACGGATTCCGTCAGCAGTCTTTCTTGGAATCCGTTTCCAAGAGACAACAGTTTGCGAGGCACGCACCCGACGGTGCAGGCATGGGAAGCTGAACGTCCTCCTGTCCAAGTTGCTGGTGCTGCAGTCCCTCCCTTTCCAAGTGGTGGACTCAGCACCTTTCCGAGAAATGATGGCTTGTGCCGCGCCGCGGTGGAGAGTGCCAAGCCGGCATTTCTTCGTACCAAAAAGGCAGTGCCAGCCCTGCATTCACATGTAGAAGAGATGGTGGGCCAGTCTTTGAGCATGTCGGTCTCTGCCAAAGTGCACGGCAGCGCCGACGTGTGGGGAGCTGTAACTACGGTCAGGGACAGTACATGTCATTTACGGCCCCACTGGGGTGAACGTGGTGCCGGCACAGCCGCACCAGCAACTTGGACAGGTCACGCCGCTTTTGCCTCCACGTTTGCACGTCCTTGGTCCATCAAAAAGATGTCCGCCTGGCTACCACTTCTTCTTCCGCCGTGTCCTCTCAGCCGCCACCCCCCGTGCCAAGTCCCATTACTCCGGGGTCCGGCATATCACACATGTGCAGGGCGCAACGGTGTCACGCTGTGCTGCACCTGGTATGCCTTGGCGAACGTAGTCACACAGGGGAGGAACTTCTGAGTGTAATGAACAGAGAAATCGACAGATGGCTGTCTCCCGCGCAAAACTGAAAATCGGAACCATGTTGACCGACAAACGGAAAGAACATGGTGTCTGCTCTGCGTCAAGGAAGGTTGTGCCATGCGCCATGCATGGCTCACGTGTTTCAATCTGGTTGTCAAGCGGTTCCTAAAATCCACCATCCCACTGCAAGACATCCTTAAAATGTCACGTAAACTTTGCATGCATTTCAGCCATTCCTACACCGCAAAGCACACCCTCCTTGAGCTGCAGCGGCAGGCAGAACGGAATTTCCACAGCATCGCCTGATCTGCTGCGACGTTGCAACAAGGTGGATTTCAACCCTACACATGTTAGACCGCCTTTTTACGAACAGCGAAAGGGCCATCACCGATTTCCTGATGTTACAAGCGGGATAAAGGTACTCCCCTGTGTAACTTCGATGTCAGCCATTGGCAGCTCCATGCGTGACACCCTGCCGCTTGCTCAGGCCCTTTGAGGAGGCCACGCTATTCGTGAGTCGGCAGCAGGACTATGGGATGAACGACGTCATTCCTCTGTTGCACGTCCTGGAAACAAATGCTGTTAACAATGGCTGGTCCAGGGTGCGGGTAGACGTGGCGCACAGATCTCAACGCCACATGACCCCTGTGGGGGCAGGACAGGAAGAAGAGGAGGAGGTAGAGGAGGACATTGGTGTGACTCAGGAATTATTGAGTGAAATGGGTGGTTTTTCCACTCAGCGGACAGGAGTGGAGGAGCAGGAGCATCTGGTAGAGGGAGGAGGAGGAGACAGAGGACCCAGACGCACCGTGGCAGTATGCTGTGGAGATGGAGGCAGGGAGTCCCTCGCATTCCTTGGCACAAAAATGGCCCATAGCATGCTCGGTTGCTTGCGTAGCGACAGCCGAATAATAACCATCAGACAGAGGGATGACTTTTGGCTGTCCCACCTTGTTGGACCCTCGCTACCGTTCAAAAATGGTGGCCTTTTTCACACCTGCTGAGAGGGAGGCCAAAATAACGTACTATAAAAACCACCTATTTAGTCAGTTGGTCTCTGCCTTTGTGCGCCAACGTCCATCCTCAGACACTGTGGGCCCTGTGCGCTGCTCGCGTTCCGCTGCCATGGCAGCAGCTGGAGGGGTGGGGTGGTAGGAGCAGTGGCAGCTCCACCAGCAGCGGCTGCCTCAGTCTGCAGTCGATGATGAGTAGCTTTCTTCACCAGCGCAGTGAGGAAACTACTAACCAGCCGCAGCAGCAGCAGCATCAGGTGGACCTGGAGCAGGACCTCAAACAACAGGCTTGGGCCTACTTGGACAGCACCCCTGCCAACCGAGGTAGACAATCCCCTTGACTACTGGGCAACGAAACTTGACCTTTGGCCCCAACTAGCTGAATTTGCCCTTGAAAGGCTGTCATGCCCCGGCCAGTAGCGTGGCATCGGAGCGCGTGTTTAGTGCGGCAGGAGGTATTGTAACTCCGCGGAGGACACGACTGTCCACCCAAAAGTGTGGAGAGGACTCACGTTTGTGAAAATGATATCAGGCGTGGATTAGTCTGGATTTCAAACCACCAGTTCCTGACACAACTGACTAAATCCGCCATGAATCATGCCCCAAACATGTGCCACTTTCAGGTCTCCTCAACACTGCTGGTGTGTTCCATTTTTTCATAGGGTGCTGGCAGATTACGGGCCTCCCATTGCTGCTGCCAGGCCCGTAATCTGCCATGGGCCCCCGTACCGCCTCCTCATGCTGCTGCCAGGTCCAGAGTCTCTCATGGGTCCCTGTACGGCCTCCCATTGCTGCTGTCTCCATCGCCACACTCTGCCATGTGCCACTTTCAGGTCTCCTCACACTGCTGGTGTGTTCCATTTTTTGTCATAGGGTGCTGGCAGATTACGGGCCTCCCATTGCTGCTGCCAGGCCCGTAATCTGCCATGGGCCCCTGTACCGCCTCCTCATGCTGCTGCCAGGTCCAGAGTGTCTCATGGGTCCCTGTACGGCCTCCCATTGCTGCTGTCTCCATCGCCACACTCTGCCATGTGCCACTTTCAGGTCTCCTCACACTGCTGGTGTGTTCCATTTTGTCATAGGGTGCTGGCAGATTACGGGCCTCCCATTGCTGCTGCCAGGCCCGTAATCTGCCATGGGCCCCTGTACCGCCTCCTCATGCTGCTGCCAGGTCCAGAGTGTCTCATGGGTCCCTGTACGGCCTCCCATTGCTGCTGTCTCCATCGCCACACTCTGCCATGTGCCACTTTCAGGTCTCCTCACACTGCTGGTGTGTTCCATTTTTTGTCATAGGGGTGCTGGCAGATTACGGGCCTCCCATTGCTGCTGCCAGGCCCGTAATCTGCCATGGGCCCCCGTACCGCCTCCTCATGCTGCTGCCAGGTCCAGAGTCTCTCATGGGTCCCTGTACGGCCTCCCATTGCTGCTGTCTCCATCGCCACACTGCCCATGTGCCACTTTCAGGTCTCCTCACACTGCTGGTGTGTTCCATTTTTTGTCATAGGGTGCTGGCAGATTACGGGCCTCCCATTGCTGCTGCCAGGCCCGTAATCTGCCATGGGCCCCTGTACCGCCTCCTCATGCTGCTGCCAGGTCCAGAGTGTCTCATGGGTCCCTGTACGGCCTCCCATTGCTGCTGTCTCCATCGCCACACTCTGCCATGTGCCACTTTCAGGTCTCCTCACACTGCTGGTGTGTTCCATTTTGTTGTATAGGGTGCTGGCAGATTACGGGCCTCCCATTGCTGCTGCCAGGCCCGTAATCTGCCATGGGCCCCCTGTACCGCCTCCTCATGCTGCTGCCAGGTCCAGAGTGTCTCATGGGTCCCTGTACGGCCTCCCATTGCTGCTGTCTCCATCGCCACACTCTGCCATGTGCACTTTCAGGTCTCCTCACACTGCTGGTGTGTTCCATTTTTTGTCATAGGGTGCTGGCAGATTACGGGCCTCCCATTGCTGCTGCCAGGCCCGTAATCTGCCATGGGCCCCTGTACCGCCTCCTCATGCTGCTGCCAGGTCCAGAGTGTCTCATGGGTCCCTGTACGGCCTCCCATCATGCCAGGGCCCCAACAATGCTGTCATGCTGTCTCCATCGCCACACTCTGCCATGTGCCACTTTCAGGTCTCCTCACACTGCTGGTGGTGTTCCATTTTTGTCATAGGGTGCTGGCATTACGGGTGCTGGCAGATTAATCTGCCATGGGGCCTCCCATTGCTGCTGCCAGGCCAGGCCCGTAATCTGCCATGGGCCCCTGTACCGCCTCCTCATGCTGCTGCAAGGTCCAGAGTGTCTCATGGGTCCCTGTACGGCCTCCCATTGCTGCTGTCTCCATCGCCACACTCTGCCATGTGCCACTTTCAGGTCTCCTCACACTGCTGGTGTGTTCCATTTTGTCATAGGGTGCTGGCAGATTACGGGCCTCCCATTGCTGCTGCCAGGCCCGTAATCTGCCATGGGCCCCCGTACCGCCTCTCTCATGGGCCCCTGTACCGCTCATACTGCTGCTGCCAGGTCCAGAGTGTCTCATGGGTCCCTGTACGGCCTCCCATTGCTGCTGTCTCTCCATCGCCACACTCTGCCATGTGCCACTTTCAGGTCTCCTCACACTGCTGGTGTGTTCCATTTTTTGTCATAGGGTGCTGGCAGATTACGGGCCTCCCATTGCTGCTGCCAGGCCCGTAATCTGCCATGGGCCCCCGTACCGCTCCTCATGCTGCTGCCAGGTCCAGAGTCTCTCATGGGTCCCTGTACGGCCTCCCATTGCTGCTGTCTCCATCGCCACACTCTGCCATGTGCCACTTTCAGGTCTCCTCACACTGCTGGTGTGTTCCATTTTTTTGTCATAGGGTGCTGGCAGATTACGGGCCTCCCATTGCTGCTGCCAGGCCCGTAATCTGCCATGGGCCCCCGTACCGCCTCCTCATGCTGCTGCCAGGTCCAGAGTCTCTCATGGGTCCCTGTACGGCCTCCCATTGCTGCTGTCTCCATCGCCACACTCTGCCATGTGCCACTTTCAGGTCTCCTCACACTGCTGGTGTGTTCCATTTTGTCATAGGGTGCTGGCAGATTACGGGCCTCCCATTGCTGCTGCCAGGCCCGTAATCTGCCATGGGCCCCCGTACCGCCTCCTCATGCTGCTGCCAGGTCCAGAGTCTCTCATGGGTCCCTGTACGGCCTCCCATTGCTGCTGTCTCCATCGCCACACTCTGCCATGTGCCACTTTCAGGTCTCCTCACACTGCTGGTGTGTTCCATTTTTTGTCATAGGGTGCTGGCAGATTACGGGCCTCCCATTGCTGCTGCCAGGCCCGTAATCTGCCATGGGCCCCTGTACCGCCTCCTCATGCTGCTGCCAGGTCCAGAGTGTCTCATGGGTCCCTGTACGGCCTCCCATTGCTGCTGTCTCCATCGCCACACTCTGCCATGTGCCACTTTCAGGTCTCCTCACACTGCTGGTGTGTTCCATTTTGTCATAGGGTGCTGGCAGATTACGGGCCTCCCATTGCTGCTGCCAGGCCCGTAATCTGCCATGGGCCCCTGTACCGCCTCCTCATGCTGCTGCCAGGTCCAGAGTCTCTCATGGGTCCCTGTACGGCCTCCCATTGCTGCTGTCTCCATCGCCACACTCTGCCATGTGCCACTTTCAGGTCTCCTCACACTGCTGGTGTGTTACCATTTTTTGTCATAGGGTGCTGGCAGATTACGGGCCTCCCATTGCTGCTGCCAGGCCCGTAATCTGCCATGGGCCCCTGTACCGCCTCCTCATGCTGCTGCCAGGTCCAGAGTCTCTCATGGGTCCCTGTACGGCCTCCCATTGCTGCTGTCTCCATCGCCACACTCTGCCATGTGCCACTTTCAGGTCTCCTCACACTGCTGGTGTGTTCCATTTTGTCATAGGGTGCTGGCAGATTACGGGCCTCCCATTGCTGCTGCCAGGCCCCGTAATCTGCCATGGGCCCCTGTACCGCCTCCTCATGCTGCTGCCAGGTCCAGAGTGTCTCATGGGTCCCTGTACGGCCTCCCATTGCTGCTGTCTCCATCGCCACACTCTGCCATGTGCCACTTTCAGGTCTCCTCACACTGCTGGTGTGTTCCATTTTTTGTCATAGGGTGCTGGCAGATTACGGGCCTCCCATTGCTGCTGCCAGGCCCGTAATCTGCCATGGGCCCCTGTACCGCCTCCTCATGCTGCTGCCAGGTCCAGAGTCTCTCATGGGTCCCTGTACGGCCTCCCATTGCTGCTGTCTCCATCGCCACACTCTGCCATGTGCCACTTTCAGGTCTCCTCACACTGCTGGTGTGTTCCATTTTTTTGTCATAGGGTGCTGGCAGATTACGGCCTCCCATTGCTGCTGCCAGGCCCGTAATCTGCCATGGGCCCCCGTACCGCCTCCTCATGCTGCTGCCCAGGTCCAGAGTCTCTCATGGGTCCCTGTACGGCCTCCCATTGCTGCTGCTGTCTCCATCGCCACACTCTGCCATGTGCCACTTTCAGGTCTCCTCACACTGCTGGTGTGTTCCATTTTTTGTCATAGGGTGCTGGCAGATTTACGGGCCTCCCATTGCTGCTGCCAGGCCCGTAATCTGCCATGGGCCCCCGTACCGCCTCCTCATGCTGCTGCCAGGTCCAGAGTCTCTCATGGGTCCCTGTACGGCCTCCCATTGCTGCTGTCTCCATCGCCACACTCTGCCATGTGCCACTTTCAGGTCTCCTCACACTGCTGGTGTGTTCCATTTTTTGTCATAGGGTGCTGGCAGATTACGGGCCTCCCATTGCTGCTGCCAGGCCCGTAATCTGCCATGGGCCCCTGTACCGCCTCTCTCATGCTGCTGCCAGGTCCAGAGTCTCTCATGGGTCCCTGTACGGCCTCCCATTGCTGCTGTCTCCATCGCCACACTCTGCCATGTGCACTTTCAGGTCTCCTCACACTGCTGGTGTGTTTCTTTGTCATAGGGTGCTGGCAGATTACGGGCCTCCCATTGCTGCTGCCAGGCCCGTAATCTGCCATGGGCCCCCGTACCGCCTCCTCATGCTGCTGCCAGGTCCAGAGTGTCTCATGGGTCCCTGTACGGCCTCCCATTGCTGCTGTCTCCATCGCCACACTCTGCCATGTGCCACTTTCAGGTCTCCTCACACTGCTGGTGTGTTCCATTTTTTGTCATAGGGTGCTGGCAGATTACGGGCCTCCCATTGCTGCTGCCAGGCCCGTAATCTGCCATGGGCCCCCGTACCGCCTCCTCATGCTGCTGCCAGGTCCAGAGTCTCATGGGTCCCTGTACGGCCTCCCATTGCTGCTGTCTCCATCGCCACACTCTGCCATGTGCCACTTTCAGGTCTCCTCACACTGCTGGTGGGTTCCATTTTTTGTCATAGGGTGCTGGCAGATTACGGGCCTCCCATTGCTGCTGCCAGCCCGTAATCTGCCATGGGCCCCCGTACCGACTCCTCATGCTGCTCCTCATGCTGTGACGTTGCAACAAGGTGGAATTCAACCCTACATATGTTAGACCGCCTTTACGAACAGCGAAAGGCCATCACAGATTTCCTGATGTTACAAGCGGATAAAGGTACTCCCTGTGTAACTTAGATGTCAGCCATTGGCAGCTCATGCGTGACACCTGCCGCTTGCTCAGGCCCTTTGAGGAGGCCACGCTATTCGTGAGTCGGCAAGGACTATGGGATGAACGACGTCATTCCTCTGTTGCACGTCCTGGAACAAATGCTGTTAACAATGGCTGGTCAGGGTGCGGTAGACGTGGCGCACAGATCTCAACGCCACATGACCCCTGTGGGGGCAGGACAGGAAGAAGAGGAGGAGGAGGTAGAGGAGGACATTGGTGCTCAGGAATTATTGAGTGAAATGGGTGGTTTTTCACTCAGTGGACAGGAGTGGAGGAGCAGGAGCATCTGGTAGAGGAGGAGGAGGAGGAGACAGAGGACCCAGACGCACGCACGTGGCAGTATGCTGTGGAGATGGAGGCAGGGAGTCCCTCGCATTCCTTGGCACCAAATGGCCCATAGCATGCTCGGTTGCTTGCGTAGCGGCAGCCGAATAATAACCATCAGACAGAGGGATGACTTTTGGCTGTCCACCTTGTTGGACCCTCGCTACCGTTCAAAAATGGTGGCCTTTTTCACACCTGCTGAGAGGGAGGCCAAAATAAAGTACTATAAAAACCACCTATATAGTCAGCTGGTCTCTGCCTTTCTGCGCCAACGTCCATCCTCAGACACTGTGGGCCCTGTGCGCTCGCGTTCCGCTGCCATGGCAGCAGGGGAGGGGAGGGGTGGGGTGGTAGGAGCAGTGGCAGCTCCACCAGCAGCGGCTGCCTCAGTCTGCAGTCGATGATGAGTAGCTTTCTTCACCAGCGCAGTGAGGAAACTACTAACCAGCCGCAGCAGCAGCAGCATCAGGTGGACCTGGAGCAGGACCTCAAACAACAGGCTTGGGCCTACTTGGACAGCACCCTGCCAACCGAGGTAGACAATCCCCTTGACTACTGGGCAACGAAACTTGACCTTTGGCCCCAACTAGCTGAATTTGCCCTTGAAAGGCTGTCATGCCCGGCCAGTAGCGTGGCATCGGAGCGCAGTGTTTAGTGCCGGCAGGAGGTATTGTAACTCCGCGGAGGACACGACTGTCCACCCAAAAGTGTGGAGAGACTCACGTTTGTGAAAATGAATCAGGCGTGGATTAGTCTGGATTTCAAACCACCAGTTCCTGACACAACTGACTAAATCCGCCACGAATCATGCCCCAAACATGTGCCACTTTCAGGTCTCCTCACACTACTGGTGGGTTCCATTTTGTCATAGGGTGCTGGCAGATTACGGGCCTCCCATTGCTGCTGCCAGGCCCGTAATCTGCCATGGGCCCCTGTACCGCCTCCTCATGCTGCTGCCAGGTCCAGAGTCTCTCATGGGTCCCTGTACGGCCTCCCATTGCTGTTGCCTCCATCGCCACACTCTGCCATGTGCCACTTTCAGGTCTCCTCACACTGCTGGTGTGTTACATTTTGTCATAGGGTGCTGGCAGATTACGAGCCTCCCATTGCTGCTGCCAGGCCCGTAATCTGCCATGGGCCCCTGTACCGCCTCCTAATGCTGCTGCCAGGT